CATGGAGCTGATGCAGGAAACAACAACAACCTGATCCGGCCCGCCAGCATCATCTTGAGCGAGGGGATGTAAATAATATTTTCAAAACATGATTTGTTTTGGAATGTTATTGATTGATTACATGTCCTAAATACCATCGTTTGGATGTTTTGTTAATCAACTAATGAATGTTGTAGCCTAATGAATGTAATTAACTGATTTAAATNTCGACAATGATGATCATCATAATGTGAACAGAAGATATTATTTAGAAAAAAACTACGTTTCTTTCACACATCATCATATGCCATATGATGATGATGATATTGTATTTCTCGTTCTCTCTATCAAACATCCAAACAAATCAAATTTGTCGAATTTGAAGAAGAACAAAAAACCATCAATAGAGAGAGAGAAAGAAAGAAGCAGACACAATCAACGCATGATTATTATTATTATTATTATTATTATGTGGTGCATATCCAACAAGAAGAAGAAGAAAAAAAACCACAAAGTATATATCATCATCATCATCGTTATTTAGATAAATTATTTTTTTTTTCTAATAAAAATGAAGAAAAAACGCAACAGAAAATGAAAAGAAGAGCACATCATGTTAATATCTTTCCCATCATCCAATATATACATTAGATATATAACAACTAAGATATTGTTTTTCAAGAATAGAAATCTTGCTTCTTAAGAGGCTTCTCATTTTTTTCAACCAGAAAAAACCCAATACAGCCATTTAATCATCAAACACCTATCATTATCAAATCGGATACCGTTATTGATGATTCAATCAAAGAACCTTAAAAGACAAAGTGTGTGTGCAAGTTTTTTTCATTGACATTTGATTCAAACAAACACAAGCATCAAACAGACACACGAGTAAACATCATCCACAACCGAATGAAAATTACCCAGTATTCTATATCAAATGTTCAAATCATATAAGATTTTATATAAAAACAAAGCAAAACAAAACGAACAAACATACCGTTGATAAAACATCACCTCTTCGTATAAATTGTTGTATGGTTGCCGCTGTATTTATGATGAATACACAATTTGTAATCATTTTTTGATTTTTTCAAAAAAAAAGAAAAGAAAATCGATTGGCAAACGAAAAACAAACAAAACTAAAATAAAGTCAAAGTTGAAATCAAGAAATGAACCAAGATTTTTTTTTGCTGAATTTGTTTGAATCCAAAAAAAACACACACACTTTGTATAATTAGAAATTGATTTTTTCATCAAACATCCATCGAACCGAAATGATTTTTTTTTTTTTTTGTTAGCAAATGCAAATCATCATTCGATTTGATATATCATAATTTTGAAAGTTTTTTCTAGACCGAAAAATATATTTTAAAAAAAAAACGGTACGTTGACATATTGTACAACTAAGATAATGACAAATGAAAGAGAGAAAAAAAGCTTTCATCCAAAATGACCAAATAATCTGGGGATATACGTTTAGCTTTTTATATGACAAAAGATAGCAACCATCACCATCACCAACAGCAGCAGCAACCCAAAAATTCATCGATGATTTAGACATTTTTTTTCATTCATTCATTCATGTATTTATAGATATGATTAGGTTCATTATCCAAACAAAAATGATGATGATGATGATTTGAAATAAAATATTATATGATCAAAAAAATGAAAAACGATGATGATAATATCGGAAATGATAATGGCCTCTACATAAAACTATATGATGAAATGGATAATAATATGAAAAAAATTTTTTAGCCAAACCCACATCATCATATCGAATATCAATAGATATATTAATTATAACTAAACTAGATAGTTCTAGTTGTAATTTGTAATTATTATTATTATTTATTATTTATAGAAATGATATGACCAAATTTAATAATAATAATTATATTTAAACAATTTGTAATCATAATCATCATCATCATCATAATCTTTTGATCTTTTCAATCATTCAATTAAACTTTATTTATTCTTTTTGATAAACTTCATTCAAACAATCAACAACATGACAATATCAATTTTTTTCCTGAATTATAAATTCTTTTTGAATGTCACGTAAAATACTCGTCCAATAGTGCACCATCAAAATGATGATTTCGCAATGAAACAAACAAAATATTATTATTATCACGGAATGTTTGTTGACAACAACAACAACCAACCAACCAATTCGCTAATTTAAACTTAATTTTTGTAAACAGTTCCTTATTTGATTTCATCATCATCATTGTACCCGAAAAACAAATATCAAAATATTGAAGATAAAAATATTGAAAAAAATTGATCTTGATGATCTTGATGTTTACACAAAACATTCATTTTTTTGAAATATTTTCCACAAAAAAAAAAATTTACTTACAATAGTCATTGTACCATAAGGATTTAATGAAACTAAACGACGCCCATGACTACCAGATGATGATCTTAAAACAATACCACCAGTAATACCGGTATCAGATTCACGACGACGACGTCTAGCACGATATGCTGTACGACGTATATGTTCTTCATCATCTGATGGTACCATTACGGATAAAAGCATTTTTTTTTCGTTTTTTTAATTCAACAGAATCAATAATGATAATGATGATTTAGCAATCAATTAATCGATGATTCAAACAAACAAACAAACAATCTTGACAATGACAATGAGAAAGGTTAGCCAAAAAACAACAGTTAATGTTTTTTTTTTTTTGATTGGTGCTATTTTCATTACAATTTTTCAATTCTGTTTTTTTCGTTTTTCTGAATAGAATATACAGAAAAACATTGTCGGTTCAAATTCAAAATGCAAATTGAAAAAATGCTTTTTAAAAAATCAGTTGAACAGGTCATCCCACCCACACACACACATCAAAAAAATCATCACCAAAACACCAAACTAGTTCGGGTTTTTTTCTTCTTTTTTTCACTATTATCCGGGATACAAACACACACACAATAGACACAAAACAAACAAACGAAAAAAAAAGAAAAAAATGATGAAAAAAATATGCAAATTTTTTTTATAATAAAGAAGAAAAAGACTGGTTTCACCACAAGTTACACACACACACACAAAGAAGAAGAAGAATTCAAATGAGAAGAAAGAAAATATCAAGATTGAAAAATACTAATAAGAAAATTTCAATGTTTTTCAGGTGTTTTTTCGTTTGAAAAAATAACTATCGTTATCATTATCGTTATAAAAATGATCAAATTGGATAAAAATGATGAAGCTTTTTGTTATTTATTTTTTTTGTTTGTATCATCCATTATTATTATTATTGTATCATATGTTCAAAATATGAATTTTTGTTAATTTGTACTACATTTTGTTAATGAATTCCTAAACACGAAACACAAAGCAAACGAAGAGAAGAAAAAAAATCATTATCATCATCATTGACAATGAAGTGAAGTGAACAAAAAAAAACATAATGAACACCTGTGCGCGATATAAAACAACAAACATCAATTTCAAGATCAGATCATAGCGACATTGACAAATCAAAAAATAAAAACTAATGATATCAATTATTAATGTCTGTTTTGTAAAAAACATCCAAAAATATCAAAAACGTGCAATGAAATAAACTCTTTTTTTTTCACAGGGAAAAAAAACAATCATACAACCAACAAATTTGATACCCATCAAATTTTTTTTGGAGAATCATTGAATAATTATCAAGGTTTTCTTTTTAGATAGAGAAAAAAACGGAATCGAATCATTATTATTACATTTCATTGATTATCATTTGGTTTTTCTTCGTGTACAAATGTGATTCAATGAAGCAAATTGAAAATGAATGAATTTCATAAGTCGACCATAAGACATGTAGCGTGTGTCAGTAGAATACTCCAGGTATTCATTCGCAATTTAGATATTTTCAAAGCAAAAAAATAAATGAAGAATTGATAATGTGTGTGTGGTTGATGGCATTTTTTCATTGTAGACCTTCAAATTCCTATAAACTATTAAAATTCTATGTATTCAATATACAATCACAAGTATGCCACATACACACAGACAAAACATAATGTAATGTATTTTTCTATTCTCATTTTCAGATCAACCAACCAACCAACCAACATTCAACGTTAAATCTAATCTAATCATCAACTTATTCTAAATGGCGCCCAGAATGCCCGCCAACCATTTAAAATAAGTAAGAATAACAAGTGAATATAAATGTGTGTAGGTTATTTTTATATTAACAACAAAAAAAAATGAGCATCGAACAAAAAAAAATCTGAATCTAAAGAATTCCTCGTTATATATTCGTCATCATTATCAACAGCAACAACAAACAAAACACATACATACTTGGCTTACAAAACAAAACGAAAAAAATTTTCCGTTTCAACAATTCATTCTTCTATTGAATGAATGAATGAAGACAATTAAAAAAAACTGAAAGAAAAGAATCTTCAGAATACACATCTGGCTTATGATCATATCATATTATTATTATTATAATCATTAACAAAGAGAGAAAGAGACATAAATCATAAACAATGATTTTGCAATGTGGACAATATCAGTTTTCTTCATTCATTCATTCATTCATTTAGTTAGGATCAATAAACACATAGACATCACACATCCCTACTCAATAAAAAAAAACATGTACAGGTATAAAACAAACATCTTTTGTAAACCAGCAAAAAAAAATTTCTTTCAACCAAAAAACACAACAACGACTATATATCGCTAATGACAATAATGATATTTTTTCTTTACCTGTTCATGTGGACCAGATTCATGGACAGTTTGTAATGGTGTTCGTACACTTGCGGCCATTATTGATTTTTATTTATATGAATGATGATATTCGGGTTTTGTATTTTGTTGATTGGTTATCAATTTTTTTTGTCGATATTATTATTATGGTGTCGAGATGAGGTGGTTTCAATTACAAATTGATGTTATCGTAGTCGTTGTTTATGATGATAAAAAAACAAATTTATTTTCGTTGTCGTTTAGACAGAAAAGTCGAGCAAATGTAATAAAATTTGCAATTCTACAACGGTATATAACCTATTGTTATAAATTTATATGATCCTAACACTAAGGATGATCAATCGATGTTTTTTGTGTCTGGTTTGTTGTTTGCTTGTTTGTATATTTTACTTTGATGATAATAATAACGTAATTTAATGTAAACGTAACCTTATTATATTAATGAATTTCGAAGAATAATACACACCAAATAAACAAACAAGCACAATGAATAATTGGTGAAAACAATAAAACAAAACAAAAAAAACGAAATAAGAATAAGATGAAAAGTACTGTAAGATTTCTTTTCTTTTCTTTTTTTCGTTTTCCCAACACGCACAGATTCTTTTTTTCTCAGGGATTTTCATTAGAACAAAATATTTTCCATGATGATTTTCAAACAACAGTGGTGTTGTGATTATGATGAGCGAGAGAAGAACAAGAGATTAATCTGATTGAATCATCATTTCCAATGATTATATGGAATATATCACAAATATGCGATTAAAATTCTGGAACTATAAAAAAAATAGAATGAAATTAGAAACATCATTTTTTCTTGTTAAATCATTACCTTTAAAAAAAAAGAATAACAAAAAGTTTTAATCGATTTTTTTTGGAATGAATTTGATTTATTTTGGATTTAGATTTCTTCTTTTGTTTGTTTTTTTAATAAATATGCAATAATCGATACAAATACAAACATCAAACGATAAAATGAAATCTAGATTGATAAAGTAAAAAAAAAGAAATGTTAATGTTAATTCTTTGCAAAATTTGAGATTTTTTTAAACCTTTTTTGTGCCATTTTATATTCGAAGAAGAATTTTTTAAATGATTTATTGCATTTAAATAAGATTTGGTTGCTGTTGTGATTTCTATTTGAGTATTATACGTTGATATATTGGGTTAATGATGATCATTTGTTTGAATCAATTATTTTTCTGAATCTGGATTCAGTAATTGATTTTTGCTTTGTTGTTGTTGTTGTGAAGAAAAAGGAAATTCTTTCATAAATGTCATCATTATTTGATTTGCATTACACAAACATAATAATTGTGTAAATCACATATGAAAGGTAAAGAATTTCTTTTCTTTGGTTAAAATTTTCTTTCGAATAAATGATGAATAGAATAGAATTAGAATAGAAAACAAACAAACCAAAAAAATCAAAAACCAAGGATTGCAATATGATGTTTGTGTTTGTGTATATATTAAAATTGAACGAAATCAGCAAATACAGACAACAGGCAAGAGAAGAAGAAATAACCAGGATGATTATAAATGATAATCAAAAACACATACACATAATACACACAACAACAACAACCGAAACAGAGTAAATAATAATAACACAAACATTAGAGGAGGACAAGGATACAAACACACAGTGAGAGAGAGAGAGAGAGATCACACCAAAAAAACTTGCATCGAATCGAAAAATTAAAAAAAAATTAAAATAAAAAAATATTATTATTAAACGATACACAAGAGACACACAGTGTGAATAAATTGAAAATCAAAAAAAAAAACATAGATGATGATGATGGATGTTGGCTTTTTCTTCTCGTCGTTTATATCAATGGTTATGGATGGTTTAATCCGTTTTTTTTTTGTTGTTGTTTCTTTACGGGTTTGTACGATGCAGGTAATATTTTATTCGAAAAAAAAATCATTATTTAAATTCGAGTAGATGTTTGTTTGTTGTTATAACTTTGAACTGAAATTATAACACACAGTGAAATCCAAGGAGAAATATATCAAACAGTAAACAAAAACACAATCGAAAAAATCAATGGAAATCCATCCAAAGAGAGAGAGAGAGAGATTCTTCGGGATTTTCAAATGAAAATTTGATTCCAAAAAGTTGAATAGAAAAAAAATTGATGATTTTTGATTTCATCAATTGAAAAGTGGGTATCATTTCTCAAACCTGGATACAAACACACCAACTAACATATACAACATATACACACACAAAATATTTCGAAATTAACCATATTATTAATGATTTAGTTGTCGGTATTATTATTATTGTTGTTGTTGTTGTTGATGATTGATTTGATAATGGATGTTCATCATTTGATCAAATCTTATTGATTTATTTTTTTTCAAATCAAAAAAAAAAGGGCTATGAATGAATTAATGAAACAAAACAAACACACTGTGTATTTTTTTCTATTTTTTTTTTTTTGTAGAATATTCAATAGATTTGGATCGTATCATCATTATTATCATCATCAACATTAACATAGATACAAGAGATACATATTTCACAAATATTTGCCATTATACCACATCAACATATACACCATATACATACATACATACATACACAAACACAGAATTTTGTGTTGGCAACGCTTTAGCCACACAGAGATACACACACCGATGACGACGACGACTATTGATGATGACGATAATATTTTGTTGTTTCTTTCTTTTTCTTTCAAAGACTTTGTGTAGTGGTAATGATAATAATGACGATAATGGATGATGATGATGATGATGATGATCCTGAAGAAAACCAGAAAAAAATAAACGAAAAAAAATGGATGTCCAACAACAACAACAACAACAACAACAATAAAAAAGAATGCAAAGAGAGAAATCCAAAGAAAAAGAGAACACAAAAGTAGGAGTTCGAAGTGAGGATTTCGAAAGAAGTTAACAATCCTGATAG